AGTGATGGCCTCCAACCTACAAGCAATGGCCTCCAACCTAATAGCGAGGGCCTCCAACCTACAAGCAATGGCCTCCAACCTAATTTGCGATGGCCTCCAACCTACAAGCAATGGCCTCCAACCAAATACCGATGGCCTCCAACCTAATTACAAGCAATGGCCTCCAACCTACAAGCAATGGCCTCCAACCTAATAGTGATGGCCTCCAACGTGCAAGCAATGGCCTCCAACCTACTCATTATTTTTATAATGAGGGATGGAATAGGCGTGAATGCACTTATACTCCTGTAAGACTCTTGAGAACCGAAATATGTCACAGAAGGCTGCTCTTCTCTTTAAATGTGTGCGCCACCCTGCCCAGCCTTCGGCAAGCGTGCAACCCTCTTCGTGAGATCCTCCAGTGTCAACTTTCGTCTGAACCGAATGCTCAACAAACGTCTAATCATTCGAATCGCACTTTGATCATGACACAGCAAAACATTGCCGAACTGGTTCTCAAGTTACCCAACAATCTTTAAGCAATGGCCTTTCCACTCTGCTCCAGGCCCAAAGGCATGACTTCGGAGAGGTAGCATTTCTCTATAAGCACGACTACCTGTGGTCACCAAAACGAGCCAGTGAAACAGGCCAGCTTGCGACTGATGCACTTCCAGGTAGTGGGATACCGCAAGGTTAACAAACAACTCCTAATGTTGACAAACATTACTGAACTCAGGATTGTTAAAGAACCACTCGCCAAAGAAAAACTCCTATCGTTTCATGTGCATTGTCTTGGCGAAGGTATGTCACCTGCATGCAGTTGTGCCATTCTGAGTTTGATGCATCGCTCTGGTTGAAGTGCTGCTAAGGCACGTAGAGCACCATGGCACGAACATCTTGCACCAGAAGCCAAGAAAAAGCGGCCGCCACCAGCGATGCCCAAACTGGTGCCAATAGAATGCCTTCTCTCGCGAGACACTTAAGCTCGGGGTGGAACTCTCAAACGGCCTTTTTGTACCAAGGCACCTGGAGTGATAGCAAATGATACCAGCTAGAAGTTGTTCAACCTATGTTCTGAATCCATTGCGCTGCATCTAGTGCATCTAGCTTGAAATATCTTCAGCCACCAATGTAGCCGATGTCCAAACAAGTCAGTCTACAGTCTACGTATATTCTAAGGTGTGTACACGCATATAAAGCATGACTACCTCAGCAAATGTGTGCCGAAATACTGGACATCTGCAGACTGCAACCTATTTTGTCATGGGTCAATCTTGTGATATGATGCAATACATCCGTTCAATTCAATCACAACGGAAGCCCAGGCAGGTCGAGACTTCAAGAAACATAAGCCTTGAATCCAATCAACCTGGCCTCGAAATCCCTGCCCCACTGCAAAGGTAAGGACCACAGCACTGGCACCAAGCCGAAGGAAAGTAGCATACTCCTTCAAATGGAACAATTGAAGTGGTCTACAACTTTCGAATGCCAGCAGGATCCGCTGAAACACATCATTCAGAAAGACTTCCGAAAGACTAGTAGGGTTGTGATATGGCCGGGCCCCCTTCGTGAAATGAAACTGGTTGATTTTACCAGAGGTTCCAAGCATGATCCGAAGCTAGAAACACATCAAGTGTGAAAGAACCCCGACAACTCCCAAAAGTGGACACATTGCAACATCTGGCAACTACTCACTCGAGCTCCTTTCCACGGGCTTTCAGGGCACTTCTGACTGTTGTCTCATCATAGCCTGATGAAAAACTCATCATACCCTGTTGCTAAAAAGCCTTTGCTTGCCTTTGCTACAAAATGTCGAATGCATGTTGGCCAGGACATGTCTGATTGACAGGTCACCATGCCACAACATGTAGGTGACTTGTATCCATTGGTGCTTCATGCGATCAAGGTGTCTGACCCCAGCGATGGAACTCATCCCGGAATTTGGGCAAGTCCAAGAGGTCCAGAAAGACCTCGCATCAGTTGTCATCAATTGCATTGCCGAATCGCAGCTCCACATGGAAGTGGTTCGGCTTGTCAATTGCTCGCTCTCTTCGTTCTTCCCTACTCAGATGGTGTCTCCAAAGTACAAGTAAGTGAGTGTGACGGTTTTTTGTTCCTCTGAATGTGCGAAACTTCCAGACAGCGCCTTGTAGTGCATTCCAAAGAAGCCAGTGGCCAGGGTTGCCTCGATACTGCAGCTCTGGCCTGCTAAGTTCTTAAAGTCAAGGGGTTTGCTTCGAGCTTCCCTGGAAAAAGAATTATAATTAAAACACATATGGCGAACCAATTGAAAGCACTGCTTTCAAGAAGAGCAGCCTCCAAGAAACAACGGCGTAGATAACTTTCAAGTAGAAATGATGCTTGTTGCTCTGGTGGCGTGCGCACGGGAATATAGTCCAGATTCTGTTCAAAGATAAGGCGGATAAAGAATTATTGAAATTTATGAGAACTGTTTTTTATTCGATATCACTGTCCAGCGTCTACGTGCACGTTTTTTTTTCCATCTCTCCTTGTTGCAAAGGCAATTTGCCTGAGGTGCATCTAGAATCGCAACTTGTTTTGCTGATCTAGGTTAACATCAGCCGGGGATGTTGCATCCGGGCTGTCAATAAGAGTCCCTCCAGGGGAGGCTGCAAGTTCTGGCTCCAATTCGGGAGTCCGTTCAGACTGGGAAAACAAAATTGCAAAAAATAACACCTGATTCAACCTATTGACACTGGCATCTACAAAAAACGATGAGAGCCAGGTTGAAGTCAACCAGTAGGATCTTGTATCCAGAACACAGGCTATCAGATCACACACAAGCCTCTCACAACGAGACTGGGTTTTGGTCCCAATTCAGATTGTTTGGAAGCACACAGTTAAAACAATAAAACAACATTAATTGAAACTGATAAGAACCGTAATCTACAAAAAACATGTCGGAACCAACCCTTGCACTGTGGTGTCGCCTCTCACTTCTTGGCTTTGGCTTTTGCTTGCTTAGGCTTGGCCTGAGCTGCAGTGCTGCCCTTGCCTTGTGCATCTGCTTTGTTGTTGCTAGTCTGTCGCTTACGGTCCGGTACTGGAGCATTCTTGTCATCAAGCTTCCGTTTGCGACCTGGTGCAGGTTCCTTTGTCTCCTTCCCCTTCTTGCTGGCGCTAGCACGGGTGCTGGCGGCAGCAGAGGTAGCAGGCTTTCTCTTCGGAACCCTTTGACCATCATCATCACCATCGTTCTCCTCAACCTCATCGTTGTCTTCCGAAGGCTTTGCCTTGACACCCTTTGTTTCAGATTCTGTCTCACCCTCACCCAAGCGGCCACTCTTCCTCAACTCATCAACGAGCAATTTGGCTTGCTCCGCTGGACTGATGCTGCCGTGAGCGTTCTGGTGACCATCTGAATCTGCGTGTGGATCAGATGAGAAGAAAGTCTGTGTCCCAGAACGCACGTTTGCAACCTCCGTCAACATCTTGGCTTGCTCATCGAGCTGTTTGAGAGGGTCTTCGTTGGGCTTGGTAGTAAAAAGGAAGCAGTGTTTGCATGGATGCATCAAGTGCTGCCTTTTGTGGCCTGCTGAGTTTGGCCTTGGTGGAGGGAGCTGCTATCTGAGCAAGAGGCACCTTCTTGTCGACGGGAGTATCAGTTGGAGTAGCAAGTGACATCGTGGGAGCTGTTGGTGCTTCTGCTCCCTGCAAGGCTGCTACTGGCTGTGCAGTTGCTAGGTTGGCTGCTTCATGTAGTGCATTGCTTGGTTCTGCCAGCGATGATGCTGTTGCTGGCGCACGCTGTTCTGCTTCAAGCGGCTCACTTGCTGGTGGTTCTGCTTCTGCCTGCGACACTGCTGCTTCTGCTGGTGCAGTTGTCTTTGGACTGGACTCTGCAGGCTCATGATCATGCGGTGCTGCTCGTACCTGAGCTGCTGCAGCCTGAGCTGCTGCAGCCTGCATGCCAGGCTCTGACGGTGCTTCTGAGGGTGATGGTGCCTCATCGATCATCTTTTCAAGCCTCCTGCCGAACTTTGCATCGTCATCATCATGATCTAGCGTTGCTGATGCTGGTGTTGGAACAGGTGTTTCTGCTGGCTGTGGCTCTGGTGGTGCTTGGATGGCTTTTGCTGCTGGTGTATCCTGTATGTTTTGTTTGCTGCTGGTATCCTGCCTAGCTGCTGTGTAGACAAAGCGGGTCCCAGGAAGTCGACAAAATCCAAGATGTCTTGGACAGGATCACCATCTGCATCACCAAAGACCCAATCTTCCTCAACCTGAACTTCTTTGATGCAGTACTCCACGTAAGCGTTGAACAGCTCATGGTTCCTGCAACATTTAAGTGCTTTGTCCACATCATCATCAGAGCAATCTTCCATCTCCTCTAGGGTCATTGTCTTGCCGCCACCGCCACCACCAAATTGTCGCAAAGCAGGCGGCAAGCTCATCTGGAAACCAAGTTCGCCTTCGAGAGAAACATCTCCATTGTCAGTGTCAACCTGATCCTCATTGTCTATCTCTTCATCACAGTCATTGCCAGCATCAGTCAGCGCAAGCATTGGACGATCTGATGAATTTGGTGCTGGCTCGACTGGTTCGATCTTGATTCCTGGATTGGTTGCCAAAGTCTCGGCGATCTCAGCAGCGAACACTTCCGTGATGGCATTCCTCAGCTGCTTGTCAAACCCAAATCCCAAATCATCCGAGCAAAATAGCACGACGACGACGCCCCTGACGCTGCTGCGTCCTTCCCAATCCCAAACACAAGAGTAGGCATTAAGCTTGCCAAAAAAAGACAAGCTTCTGCGGATAGATCGACATCACCATATCCATATCATCTTTGCATGTGTTGGTCGCTATTGAGCTAAGGACTCTGAAACCGACATTGGTTCCATTGACAGCACGCTCAAAGCACAGCTGGGCTGGAGGCACGTACAAAAGATCACCTGGGCTAAGGTATCCGGCACGAAGGGAATCAAATGCAGTTTCACCGCCTGGCTTCAAGTCTGAGAGACTCCTGACAACTTCCTCAAAGGTTGAACCATCAGCCTTAGAGAAGGCTTCCACCGCATTCACAGTGACGAAAACTCTGTTGCCCTCGCCGTGGTAGTAAAAGAAACCCATTGCTGATGGATACATGCCTCTGAATGTCTCCCTTGGCAAACAGTTGAATCTGTGCGTCACTCACCTTCTGCACTTTAGTCTCGGCTGCTTTGTGTGCTTCCATCCTTAGAATGAATCTTTGAAACGGTAACACCGGCCCACCGGCACCAGAAAAGAAAAAACACATTGAGCAAACTGATCAGCCTGGTCAACTGTCAAATTAGAATTCACAACTTAAATTTGGCTTTAAATTCTATACACACTGACACACACACATGGCATAGGTGGTATCCAAAAGGACTTAGCTACTGATACAAGATTCTTCTCAATGATGCCATGTCGATCAAGCAAGACTGATCCCTTCGAAGACGGTCCACGAGATTCCATCTCCTTTTGCAGAAGAAAGTCAAAGCCAAGCAGATCAGACACGCCACCAATGTCCAAAGGTTTTGTAAGCCGGGTGCGATCAGGATGATCCTGCTGAAACACTCCAAATTTGTCAGCAGCTTCAGCCAGCGAAGTTCCGATTGACTTGGAAGCTGATGTCACCTGTTCCAAGGTGATGTGTCCCCCGATCTGTTCCTTCAGCACTTTCTTGACAGTTCCCTCTTTGAGCCGACAAATGTAGGCTGCTCGCGGATCTTGCCAAATCTGTGCAACAAAGGGAGCAATATCATCAAAGACTGCTACATCATTCTTCTTGTCGAACTTGCGTGCATTGATGATGATTGGTAAGTCCTAAGGGCACAATAGATCACAGCTAGTATCACAGCTACTCGTACTAGTATCTACTAGTTAGAGCAGTAACAAGTTCTATTCTCATTCAATTCAATGGCCATAGCCATAGTTCCATAAACAGTATATACAGACTCAAGACTCAAACCATTCTGTTCAACTCGACATTGAAAAACTCAGTCCTTCTCATCATCCAGTTCAATGACATGTGTTCTTTGCCTTCTCCTCGTCTCTTCAGGCACCTCACCGTTTTCTGCTGCAAGTCTCTTCTGCTCTGCAAGCCTGGCTTTCTCTTCAGCTGCTGCTTTTTGTTTTGCAGCTTTCTTTGCTTCAGCTATCTTCAGACGCGAAAGTCGCTCTTCTTCTCGTTTTTTTGCTTTCCTTGCATCTTCCTTAGCTTTCTTAGAAGCTTTGATGCTTGACTTCCAAGAGTCAACATCACTGAGAATAGCTTGGCCAACGGACTGCAGCAACTTGATTCCTTCATTGTGGCTGCTCATCACTGCATCAACCTTGTCAGCAGTCGGCTGCCAATTCACAACATGGTCACGCACATATTGTGCATGACCCACCGTCATGACGGATTCTCTTCCGTTCTCCATTTGAGATATTTGCTCTTTGAAGAAGTCGTCATTCAAAAGCAACTCCAATAGCTCATTTGACTTGATCTTATCGGAATCCTGAGAGGAGCTCCTTGGCAAGGACTAAAGAAGCAGAATCAGAGTTGATCCTGAATACAACTCAATCCTTCAAACCAAGGAACTTTGCGCATTCCAGGATGATGTGCCGCTTCTTGATGGCTTGATACCTAGCGATAAATCTGAAACACGACAGCACAGGCGCAACAAACATGTTTTAGATATGGTATTTGTGTAATTCTTAGGACTTAGGTGTGCCGTTTAAACCTAAAGGCATATTTGGTACCGTTCTTGGCTTGCTGCTTTGGTGCGACGGGTCAAAGTCCACAGCCAACGGTAGATCGTCTTGTGCATCAGAAGACATTGATGAAGCTTCAGAAAATGCAGACTGAACTGCACCTGTTGCCTTCTCCAATATCCGTTGCATTTCAGAAATCTTTTTCATGGCCATGGTCTTTGCTTTGAAAGCATGAACCTTGGTTGTCTTTGATTGGTATGTTTTCAGATTTGGCCAAGTCTATTCACTACAGGTGCATGCAAAAAATACTATATATTATATACACAATATATATATATATAATTTTTTTCGTTCCACTTCCAGTATGGTGCAAAAGCTTGGAGCAGTCACGAAATCAATGGCAATCGAGCAACAGTTGGGTTCTTAGCAGCAGCCTTTCCCTTTGCAGATGCTTTTGGTTTTGGTGTGCCTTTTGGCTTTGGGCACGGAAAGCTGCTGGCTGTC